CAGTGTTGCTCAAATCTTTACCCTGAGCAGTAGCAGAAGCAGTGTGCAGCACTGTGCCTGGTTAGGTTAGTTTCAGGATTGTATTTTGCAAGGATTTCTGACTTAAAGTTTATCTTGGAGTTTGTTTCCTATTAAAAGAAATCATCTCATTGGAACCAGCTCTGTCTAGTTTCAAGGTTATTCCCTTTTCTTGTTACTACCACAGGCAGCCCCCTGCTGTTCTTAAGTATTCGTCTGCTTGTTCTGACTCCTGAACAGTTGGCATTTTAAGCATAAAGCAACATTAAGTTTAAAGTGTTTGGTTTCACTCAGAGTTGTTGTGTGGAATTTGGAGAATGACACATCCCTAAAGGTCTTTTTCAAATTTTAAGATGGTTTCTGTTTAGCTCATGAAAGAGTAAGTGGTGCTTATAAAACTGGAGACTTTTAGAGTTTCGTTTGAATCATAATAAATCCTATGTCTTTGCTATTGCTTCATGTTCTACTTTGGAATGAATGCCAGCATGGCCAAGATTGCCACAGCCATAAAGAATTAAGAAGAGTGTATCTTAGCTTCTTGAAGTCATTGGGATTTTAAACCTTCCCTAATACAAGTGACAGAGAAAATTAAAAGAAAGTGCATGATCCTATCTGTCTGATGGGTGTTATTTGTTGGTTATTAGGAAAAGCTTTTGTGGTGAAAAAGTAACACCCTATACATCACCTAAAATTTTCACTGCAGCAGTCACGCACACTAGCTCTTTGCATAATGTTGCTGAATTAAAATTGCTAGTGCGGGCTTAACTTGTTTACAAGTGAATTTTTTCCTTGTTTTAGTCTTGCAATTAGTACAGAAATTGAAAATGTAGGAAAATTCTATGGATAACTCTATGGGGTCTCATAATTCAATTCTGTCACATTTGTTCCTGTATTCAGATATGGGAACACTTTGGAATCAGCAAAATCTAAACAGAACAATGAACATTGTGCACAAATCATAAAGACATATACTTAACTGGGGCAATATGTCATGCGAAATAAGTGATATAGAATTTTATATGACGTGGAAAGTGCACTCAGTAATGAGTAAGATTGAGAGAAAAAAAAATGTGTCTTCCCTCCATTAACCAAGTTTCTACACAGCTTGTTGAATAGTAGCAGCTTAATATTTCAGCACTGAATTTATTCAGTGTCACCCTCTCACATACATTTGTTTTCTTCCTAGTTTCCCTTCAAGATGTTTGGAGAGGAAGTGTTTTTTGTTCACTTCCAATCTCAATATATGTTGGCAGCCTCATGCCTTTACCAGAGCTGTATGCAGCTACCCTGACACTACTCTTTCATAAAGTACTAAAGTAGCTGCCTCTTACTACACAGAGTAAATGTGGAGTTCTTGTAATTACTATCACAAGAGCTAAAATAAAAAGCATCAATAGGTTTTTGTTTTAGTCAGTTTATTTGCTGCTATGACTAAAAGATCTGACCAGAACGATTGTAGAGGAAGAAAAGTTTATTTGAGGACTCACAGTTTCAGGGGTCTTAGTCCATAAAAAGCCAGCTCCATTCCTAGGGGCTTGAGGTGAGGCAGAACATCATGGCAGAGAGTGTGGCAGAGAGAAACAACTCACATGATGATCAGAAAGCAGAGAGAGTCCACGCTCCAAATACAAAATATATACCCCATAGCCACACCCTCAAAGAACCACTTCCCCCAGCCACTCCCCACCTGCTTCCAGTTACCACTCAGATGATCCCATCAGGGATTCATTCACTAATCAGGTTTAGGCTATAACCCAATCATTTCTCCTCCAAACCTTCTTGCATTGTCTCACACAAGAGCTTTTGGGGGACACCTCACATCCAAGCCATAACAGTATTTCTTTAAGTTCCCAAATGCCTAAATGATATAGCTATGCCCAATATTACACTGGCTTTTTGAAAGGATAAGGGACAAATAGAGTAAAAACTGGAATTTAAATTTCCCTCTAAATTTCAAGTATGGAAGGCAAAGAAAATAAGGAAAGCAAAATAGGAAAGGAACTACTGAACAGATTGTCTTCACTTAGAAATGGGAAGAAATAAAAACTACCCCCAAAACCACTTACCTTTGTAGATGTTGCCCTAAATTCCTGACCTGCATGAGTTCTCCATCCACAAGCCACTTTGTCTCAAACAGGGTCTCACAAGACCAAGTCTACTATCCAAATCTTAATTGAATCATTAAATGAAATTGTGAGGATAACATGGCAAAGATGTGTGTTTCAATTCAGTTCAATTGGATAAGCGTTCATTGACCAGCCACTGTGTGCTCCGTGAGGTGTTGGGGGAATTTGGTCTTGCAGGAGGCCTGTAGACACCTTACAATCTTACAAAATGAGAACTGCTCCATTTACAAAGTGCTATGAAAGTACTACTTCATTCTGTCTGAGGCCTTCAGGCAGAGAGGCATCCAAACATTCACAATTTTAATATCAATAGTTTGTTACATGAAGTACTTCTATCACAGCCACTTATTTACTGCAGACATTTGTTTTCTGAAACCTTATGTGCTTCCTTTAAAAATATTTAAAGACCTTTGAAAATTCTTATAACAAACAGTTACTACTATATTATACACTCAATTATGTTTTAACATTCATTGTTGATATAAGACAATAAAACACAATAACGGTTTTTCAATAGATACTACCTTAGCATTAGGTAACTTAGGTTAATTATCTTACCTGTTGCATGAAAACAATTACCCTATAGAACCCTAAAACAAAAGTTAATAAGTAAAGCATGCATTAACATTTCCTGTGTTCCACTTTATAGATTATTAACAAATTAATAAGACATGTAATTCTTCAAAATGTTTAAAACCTGATTCAAAAGAATAAAAGCAATGCTATAGGAGAATTGTATAAATTTACATGTCCACTTTGATAGCATGAATTCATATACCCTATGAAAATGTCAGAAAAGGTTATTTTAGTCTTTAATTAAGAAATCAACATATCTTCTCATCATTAGTTCCCCCTCTTATTCCCCAATTCTTCCCTCTTGCCTGCAGAACCTGCAAGAGAGGTAGTAGACTTCTCTATATTTACAAAATACTTTAGCAACTTACTTACCAGGAGTTAAAAATAGTATTTCCAGGACTCAGTTCTTTGGCAAATATGAACTATGAAATGCAAGTGTGTTCCTACAACCAAAGAATCTTTAAAATAGAATCTGAAATTATTATCGTTAGAGTTTCATGTAAGGAAAAGTAATTTAACAACACCTGAGGTATATTTAATGAAAATTAAATAAAATTGAGGTGCCAGTATAATTATTTAAAGCTCTTCAAGTTTAATCATTATATTAATCAATTCTTTTGCCCCGATAAATTTGTCTTTTTTTTTTTTAATTTCTCAGGAGTAAAAATGGTTTAAAGAAGAGGAAACTGACTAAGTAAGTATTTTTTTTATTATTTCCTTTAAAAAGATTTTATAATTATGATCTTAACCTTCCAAATCTTAAAAAATAAATTGCTTGATTTCAAGCAAGGGATGCTTAAGAAAGAGGTAAGTACATATTATGAATATGTAGTTGGAGATTCCACTAAGAAAGTTTATCATGGAAACCTTGTCAGGTACAAAGACCATTTTTACCACATGAAATCTGATGAAGAATGGATTGTAAAAAAAAAAAAGAATTATAAAAGTCTTGCAGAAGGAAGTGTGGAATTCTAAGCATATGAAAATCTAATGTTTAACAATATCAAAGGTAATAAAAAAAAACACTTGCCAGTTTGTGTTTTGAAATTCTGTGTTTGTTTCAGGGAAAGGCTTTCACTTTATGATGTTATAATAAATACTTTTCTAATTCTGTCTCAGAAAAACCTCTGTAATAAAGGAGAGATTATTCCTCTGGCTAGATTGTGGTATTACATATCCACTAAACTGTTAAGGTTATGATTCTGTTGGGTGAAAATTAGCCATCAGTTGATTTCAAAAGCCTATTAGATTATCACCACCAGGCCTTTTCTTAAAATTCCACACATAAAGAGTAGAACACTTGCCAGGCACAGTGGTGCATGCCTGTAATCCCAGAAGCTCAAAAGGCTGAGGCAGAGGATCATAAGTTCAAAGCCAGCCTCAGCAAAAGCGAGGCGCTAAGCAACTGAGACCCATTCTCTAAATAAAATACAAAATAGGGCTGAGGGTGTGGCTCAATGGTCCAGTGCCCCTGAGTTCAATCCCCAGTTCAAAAAAAAAAAAAAAAAAGGAACACTTTTATAAACTGAGTTCACTCTTGACAAGACTAGACTGACATCCACACTGATTTTCATGGCATAACCTGTGATACAATCCAAAAGAAAATTTGATGCAAACACATTGTCATTTAGCCTTGTGGTGGCATATAATTTACAGCACAAAGATGCAGGACAAGTTCCCTGTTAATTAAAATTGTATGCATTCCATTGACATACACCAACTGGCATAGGGGGCACAAGGCCAGCCTCCACAGATGAGAGTCACTGTCACCTGGAAGAAATAGTTGGCACAGCAGAAAGACTTTGTTGTCCATAACTATTAGTTGGGTTGTTAGTGAGAAGCATAGACCTCAGCATTCAAAGGACAGGATCTCAGGTCAAAAGGGGGAGACTCTTTCAGATCTTGCTCCTCCCAAGACCCAGGCACAGACAAGAGGAAAAACCAGACCTGGGCAAAAGAGTTTAGGGGTGGTGGGACCTGGTCACAAGTCAGAACCTCACATCAAACCAACTCCCTCTCTCTTCTCATTGTCCCTCCTTCTCTGTTTCTCTGCTTTCATTTGCCTTCTCTTTTCTTTTCCTGTGTTTCACTCCAAATGCCCCATCACCACCACACAACATATCCCCCTTGGAACCTCTTTTTTTTTTTTTTTATCTCTACTTACTTCCATTCCATCTTCTTTTCCTTTACCTCTTCTCCCCTTTCTCTCTAACTCTGTCCTGCTGGTCTTGGTTTCCCTCCAAGTTTTCTTTCTCTCCTCTTCTGCCATATGTTTTCACCTGTCCATTCTGCTTCTTGGTTTTGCTTTTTCTAACCTAGAAATCTGTTCTCAGAGTCTGCCTTCCCTATACGTGCTCCCATTTTCTAGATGAAACTGGAAATGTGAAATCTAAGGTCAATGTCCTGCTCAACAACAGCAGCCAGATATTGTAGCCCATTCAATGGCATCCATTCCAGGACAGGAGTCCCACCGGTGGCCATTCTTTGGGAAAGATAACAAGTTTGAAGTGGGGAAAGCTTTGAACTAGGACTCATGCTGTGTGGTTCTAGACAGAGTTCCACCACTTAGTGGCCCGCTGATACTGACTTCCTTCCTTCCCTCACCCTTGGCTCTCTCACTGGGAGCACAGGGTGAGTGTTGTCCATGGGGATAACCAAACAAGATAACATGTGAATATTTATCAACTGTTGAGTGTTTTATGAGTATGAATTATTATTGTTAAGGAAAAAACCGTTAAAGTTTAAAATTGTTACCTGGGAGGTTTAATGCCCTCTAAAATCTTAACATAAAATAGTCTACCTGATTGGCTGATCCACAACTTTAGACAAATATCTATTAAATTCTGTGTAATTCCTAATAAGACTTAAGATCACATATAGATGACATAAGCTGCACAACATGACACAAGAATAAGGGAAAAGTCAACTATGGATCCTGCCAAGGTAGAAAGTCTTGGGTTTGATGACAGAATATGGCATCCTGCAGAATCAGAGAACAGGCTGGTATAGGTAGGTTCCTAAATAGATAAGCAACTACAAAAAATTACAGAGAATAAAACAAATCCTATTCTCACACATACACACACACAGAGGTGAGAAGTTCTGCTATAGATGTAGAAACATAAGTTTGCATATATTACTTGATTGAACCTCTGAGCCAGTTCAGTACTTTCATAGGTATGCAAGCTTCTGAATATGGCTCTCTCAGTTGAGACCCTGATAACTTCATCCTGCTGAGCCAGCCTTTGCTCTGGGGATATTGTAGCTAGCCAGACACACAATTCCTTATGTCATTAAAGTTGTTTGAACTCATAAGTTTCTTTACATATTGTATATCAACCTTGTGGGATAGGTATGACAATAGTATTTAATCAATGACAATGATGCTTCTCTGAAAAGTTAGGTAATTCCCAGGATCACATTGGAAATAAACAACTGTAAGCCACAACTCAAACAGGTCTTTGAAATGTAATCCTTTGTTCTTTCCCATATTCTAGAACTTTCTAAAAACAACACATGTGCATGTAGACAGGTTATATATGAGTGGACATATATAAAATATTGCTAGAGTAATAGCAAAGTATAAATCTAGAAATTTCTATTTCAGGGAAGTTTGATACATATGCCCCTCTTCTGAATTATAATGTATTAGAAACTGTTAACTTGCGCCAAAAATTAAAATACAAATGAGTATTAACTTTGGAGAAGTAAAACTTTTATTTTCTTCAAGGAGAGTATGCATGTTTAAGAAGTGTGGTATTAAAACAGTATTTAATACTTATAAACATTTCTTTGTGTTTCACAAAGCCCGGTTCAGTTGGATGACTTTGATTCCTACATCAAGGATATGGCCAAAGACTCTGACTATAAATTTTCTCTCCAATTCGAGGTGAGTTGGGTAATGCATTCTGGACCTTCTAGAATGAGTGGGACTGGGAAGTGTGGGATTTGTGTTGGGGCCACTGCCCTGCTCAATGGGCAGTGCCTGCCCTGTGGTGATCTTGGCCTCAGCTGCTGCCTCAGTCAAAGGTTTTCAACCCTTGACCAATAGGCCAGAGCTTGAACAGCACAATTGAAGAGAAAGAGAGAATAGATGCAGGTTCTAAGATGAGCAAATACGGGTACAGGAGAAGTGATCATTGAAAACCAGGCAATTTTGAGTGTGCTTCTCATGCAGCTTGGGCCACAGTGAGGGTGGCTGGTGGAAGAAACTAACTTCATTTGCGTAACAGACTGGCGTGAGCTCTCATAGCCCTAGGATTACTGGCGTGCTACTTAATACATCTTTGTGCAATTTTAATTTCTTTCCTTGGAAAAATTGGAGACAGAGAGTAACACGATTCATTTAAAAAAGAAAAAATTGCCAACACCTCTCCTCTTTGTTTAAGCACACGTATTTCTTTGAGTCTATAAGACTATGTATCAGAATAGATGGAAATGAGTAAGTGGGAAGAATAGTTGGTCCTTACTTATTCTTTCTACATTATCTCACAGCTCATAACAGCCAATTATTCTTCAGGGTTCTGAAGTGGTCAATGATTCAGGATGAAGGGAAAGATAAAGTGACATTTCTAAATTCAGTAGCTTTTTTTTTTTAAAGCCCAAGTACTTTTCCTGCAAAAAAGCAGTTGCTTTTGCTTTATTCTTTGTATTCATTTATTCTTTCCCTTCATTTGTCAAGGATAGCTTTAGTCTATAAAAAGCAGCAATAGTCCTGATGTAAATATTCTTACAGGGAATTTGGGGATGAGAAGAATTTTACATATTCTCAAATACAAGCCCCTAATGGCCACCTGTGTGGTGAGAGATTCCACACAGAGCCTGCTCAGTTATCCATCGCCTGCAGGTGCTGTACAAATTATAGATGCTATACCAAATGTTAAATCACAAAGAACTAAAATTCAATTTGAATCAGAGACCTAAAGTGAGGACAGCATTTCAGAAAAATCTATCAATAAAAGAAGAATTTTTATAAGAAAACAAGAAGCTGAAATGCTACAAAAAGAAATAATTGGATACTTCTGATAATGGTAAGGAAAATGATGATGTAGCTACACTTCCCACCTTCCCATGTTCTCCTAATTCCTTTGAGATTAAATTCGTTGATGGCAAAACTTATATCATTACCTCTGCTGGGAACTCACAGTTAATGACATCAAACCCACATGTAACTATTAATGTGTTTCTGAATTGCATTGTTATTTTTTTTAATGCAGGAAGTCATTTTCTAGACTTCAAACTAGAAGGAAACATTGTTTTAGTTGTGAGTGACAAAAACATAATTTAAACATAATTTAACCAAAGGAAAGGAGGATTTGTTCAAAAGTCATTATGGTATCTCATATAATCAAAAGAAGGGTTGAGTAGCTAAACCATACAGGAGTATTTGGGAGCATTCCATTCCCCGCAATGTCGGAAACCACAGGCTAGGCCCCAGGAAACCTTCTATTTGTATTCTCATTTCTGGTAGCCAGCTTCTTTTTCATAGTGGAAAATAAGGCCACCAATGACACCTGAGCATCACCATCCTCTTGTTTTCATAATTTCCCAAAAGAACCATTGATACTCTCATTTCAGGTTTGCAAATTAACAGAGAAGAATTTTTATGGACCCTCCTGGATCATGGTGCCCACTCAGACCAACTGCAGCTAGGGAGGGCAGAATCCCATAAACTCTTACTGGAAAACCAACGAATTTTGAGTGGAGGAGCTAATGTAGCTGAATTAGCTAAGAAAGGAGGGTATTGTTCCTAAGTAGAGAGGGCACTGGGAAGGCAAACAATAAGTGATTTGCAAACTAGAGTTAATGCCATAAAAATATGTAAAGCACAGGGAATGAAATTGATCACATTATATTATCATACCATGTGCATATATAAATATGTCAACAATGAATCCCACTATTCTGTTTAAATATAATACACCAATGAAAAAAAATTTAAATAAGTAAAGTGTCATAAATTTTATGTGCTAAATGTACAATTTATCATATGCTAAGGGCTTTTATACATTTGATATGTAAATTAACACATTTAGGGTTTACAAGGATGTTAGGAATGTAGTAAAATAGGAATCCAACGCACTACCATTTGCCAGTAATTACTATTGAAAAAAAAGTCACACTTTCTCAAAACCTCAGTTTCTTCACCTATAAAATGGGCAGGTTGAACTAGATCAATGGCTCTCAACTAGTCAAGTACCAGTCGTTCCCCCCAGAGGGAGTTTGGGAATGTATGGGAGTTGGTTTGGGTCTTTATCGAGGCTTGGGAGAGGGTACTAATAGTATTTAAGAGGAGAAGGACAAGGATGTTAAATGTTCTTCAGTGAGTACAACAACAAATAATTGTTCCAGACCAACAGTATTCCACTGAGAAATGTTGGACTAAATGTGGAACAAGGATTCAACTGAGCTTTACAACCCACGTGTATTACTCCGGGTTCTCCAGGAATCCAACAGGTTGCATAAATAGCCAATGAAATGTATATGAAGAAAGAGATTTGTCTTAAGGAATTGGCTTATACAGTTGAGCAAGTCTGAAATCTGGAGAGGCAGCTATTGGGTTAGAGACCCAGAGAAGAGGTGAAGTTGCACTCTCAAGTCTGAGGGCTATAAAGAGTTAGAATTTGCTCCTCCGTAGGGGACCTATCTTTTCTTTTCATGTATTCAACTGATTGGATAAGACCCTGCCAATTTATTTTTATTTGATTTACTTAAATGTTCATCACATTTTAAAAATACCTTCATAGCAACTTCTAGACCAGTGTTTGACCAAAGAACTGGGTACTGTATTCAAGCCAAATTCACACATAAACATAACCATCACTCCATGATTTGAAGAAGTATTTAGGATTTTCATTTATTATGAAGATTTTAAATTTATCTTTATTCTTAGAACATTACCGATCATGTATGTTACTTATTTGGTGCCAATTCTGTGCATGCATCCATGTTCCAGTGGGAAAAATATAATTCAGTCTCTAGGAGCCTTTTAAATCACAGACTTAGACTCTATGCTTTAGACCAACATTTGCTCAAGTAGTGGCCCACTGGTCTTACTTCCTGCTCCAGGTGACAGCCTCCAGGCATTGCCAACTTTCAACTTCACTCCACCTACCACATCTTTAGGTTCAGCGTCAGCTAGTTTCAAAGAAGCCTTGTGCTCCTATGCCTGATTTCTGGGTGTACGCCAGACCTTTTACATGGAAGCCCTCAAATTTTCCTGAGATACACTAATAGCCATTGAGGTTTAAGGGAAAAAAATATTTCCAGCCCTTACTGGGGACCCAAGCGAGTACTAAGATGGCTGAATCGGGTCCATTTAGTGGTTGAACAGTTATTTGTTCTGCGTACCTGAATGCTTATACTACACGTAGTCACTTTGATCCTGACACTGAAAGATCACCCTCACACTGGGAAATTGCATCATTTATAAGCATTATGCAAATTGAAACTAATGTCTGGATTTACATATATTATCAATACAGCTATAAGTCATACATGAGCTGTATAAGTTGCTAATTTGAGTTCACTGAATAAATCCCTTTTTCACTCTGCATCTGATTTTGGAGCTACTGAAAAGATTGATTATCTTTCTGACAAAAATATACATCTTTTCTTAAAGAGGCTTGGGACCAAGGCATTAAAATCAAGCTCCTCATTTCTGTTGTTTCATATGAGAAAGGTTTTGAAGAATTAGACTTCAGAGCCTGACATGTGAGAGCCCTTGACACACACCACATGTTGCTTGCTCTTCCTCTAATTTCTGGGCTTTGTGGTTGGCCAGGATGCTAGTAAAAGTCCTCATCACCTTTGTTCTGAAATATGGTTGCAAAGATAAAAAATAAAGCTGCATATTGCCAACCCATTCACAAGGGATGATCTTTGATTTCTGGTAGTAGCCTCGTTTGCGACTGTTTTTACTTGTGTTTCAGTCTAGCTTCTAGCACTTGCCCAAGCATATATGAGGCCTTAGGTTCCATCCCCAGCATCACAAAGAAAAATATAAAAGGCACCTCAGCCAGGCCCTCTCCAACATTCTTATTCCAAGTGATCTTCTAGACCTGAGTTTTTCTCTCCCTTACTCCTTCCTTCCTAGATTTTGGTCTATTTCCAAGGGCCTCTACTAGTAACGTGTGCTTTGACTGAAATGTTAGACCTAAATCATATACAAGAGCCCAGAGACCAGCTAAGTATTTCTAGACTCTCCTGAGACGGATCCCTTCTTATCTCATCATCTATTACCCATTTCAGATTCCCATCATAACTATACCCTACTCTGTCTTTGGGATACCTGTTAGGAGTTGAATTGTGTCCCTACCAAAGATATGTTGAAGCCCTAACCTCTCAGTATCTAATAGTGTGAACTTATTGGAAATAGGATTGTTACACATGCACTTTGTTAAGATGTGCTCATACTAGACAGGGTGGGCTCTCAATCTTGTATGACTGGTATCCTTGTAAGTACTGTGCTCACCAGTTGTGCCCTTGGAGCTCCTTGACTGGTAGCCTTGTAGAAAGATAGCCATGGGAAGACACAGAGACAGAGCAAATCCCTTGACAAAGGCCGGGACTGGAATGTGTAGCTGCAAATCAAGGAAGACCCTGAGATTGCCAGAAACCACCAGGAGCCAGGAAAAGGGCAAGAAGGGATTCCCGCTACAGGTGTCAGAGGGCATATGTTCCCAAGACACCTTGGTGTCAGACTTCTGTGCTCCAGAACTTCAACACTAGAAATTTCTTTTGTTGTTAGCCAACTAGTTTTTGGAACTTTGTTACGCAGGCCCAGGAACTAATACAATACTTCACGAGATAGCTTGCTCTAAATGCTTTCCTCTCCTTTGCATTTACCTGAAAATAACCAGATGTTGCCCAGTACCGTTGGATCATTTTAACTGCTATAGACAGAACCTCTGCTGTTTCTCCATACTTATTCTCTCCCTATGAAAAAGTGGTTCCACTAATCTAGCTCATCTGACTCTCATGTCCAACTTATCCCAAAGTAAGCACCAAGAATTGTCACTTGCTGACATTATTACAAACTCCAAGGCTAAAAGACAGTTTGTTCTCTTCTCAGGTGATCATAACGCAGGTTATGGGGCTGAATGCCTGTGCTCTCCCAGAGTTCATGTGCTGAATCCCTAACTCCAGTGTGACAGCACTTGAAGACGGGACCTTTGGAGGTCCTTAGGGTTAGTTGAGGTCAGAAAGAAGCCAAGAGAAGAAGTCTCAGAGTGAAACCCACCTTGGCATCCTTGGTTTGGACTTCTCAGTCTCTGGCACTCTCTAGTTTCTAGGGCTACCATAGCAAATGACCACAATCTTGTTGTCTTAAGATAAGTGGAAATTGATGCTCACAATTATCAAAGACAGAAGTCAAGGTGTCAGTAGGATGACACTCCCTTTGAAGGCTCGAGATGGAAATATTTCTTTGCCTCTTCTGGGCTTTCGGTGGCTCCAGGAATGCCTTAGCTGGAGGCTGCCTCCTTCCAATCTGCCTCCATGTTTTCACGCCGCCTTCTTTTCTCCTGTATGGTCTCACCGAGTGATTCTTAATGGCTTACGCCAGTAAAGACCCTTCCTCCAAATAATGTCATATTCCCAGGTTCTGAGGTTTAGAATATGGACATAACATTTTGGGGATCATCATTCAACCCAATTCAGATAACTACATTGCCTAGAAAAAAAAATGATAGATTCTATTAGAAACAAAATTGGCAAAAAGAAATTCAAAAAGATTTATGTTGGGTTCAGGCCATCACCTCCATACTTGGCCTTTATGAAGCTTTAAGTCTCTGGTGTTTCCATATGGTTGGAAAGAAAATAACTGTAAAGCTACTGAACCAGAAACTTAGTATTTGATTTTCCACTTAGTGACAGGCTAAATTACAAAGACTCAAAGCATTTGCGTAATCATGCAGCTCCTGCTTTGCTGCAGTCCAACTTTGGCAATTTGCATTTCCAGTGTTCAGCCAATTAAGCCTCTCTTATCAACTGAGGGCATTTACAGGGAGGAGGCAACACACAATTAAAGTTCTATCAGTTAAGTCAGCTTCCATATGTGTGCCTGCTCTCAGCCTCAATCTGTTTCCACAGTTTCTCTGGTATCTGAGGTCTTTTCCTGTGGCTTATCAGTCTGTCCCCGAAGCAGAGGAACAGGAGGGGGAGAGTTGTTGGTCTGTTAGCACAAATGGCAAAGGAGGGAGAAATTATAGAACTGGACAAAGCAAAACAAACAAAGACTTATAGCAGAAGCATTTCACAATCGTTATCAAGAGCACTGCATTAATATTGGTTGAGTTTATTCTATTTGACAGCCACTATAAAACAGTGAAGTATAGAGAGTTTATTTACAGATAATTAAACTGATGCTAATGAAAACTACTTCCCCAATAACACACAGTATATAATAGTACATCAAAATAAGTGAGATTATTTGACAAATTATCTGTAAAGACATGTTCTATAAAAGGTAGATATTTAAACATATTTTAAGCAGTGAAAGCTTCATTTGAATAAGCTTACAGCAACCAAAAGGAAGTGACCTAAAAATAACACTGATCTGGCTCAAGTTTGCTAAAAAAAAAAAAAAAAAAAAAAGTTTCTTACAGGACAATATAGTCATCCTCTGGAAACCCTTTAAAATGGAAAATAGTTATAAAGTAACTGATAAGTTTCTGCTTAAGGTCATTGGCATGCAAGAGTTTTCTCTGACATAGAAAAAAAAATCTAATTTTGTGAGTTGAATATCAAACTTGACAGTTTGTCTTTAAGAATGATTTCAAGCCAGGTGCAGTGGTGCATGCCTGAAATCCCAGTGACTTGGGAGGCCCAGGGAAGAGGATCACAAGTTTGAGGTCAGCCTCAGAAGCTTAGTGAGACCCTGTCTCAAAATAAAAGACTGAGGGTTTAGATCAATAATGAAGCATCCCTGGATTCAATCTCTAGAACCACACAGAAAGAAAGAAAGAAAGAGAGTGTGAGGGAGGAAGGAAGAAAGGAAGAAAGAAAAGAAATAAAAGAGAGATGACGTCAACTTGCACCAAAATGTCTGAGACTTTGTTATCGTGAAGAGCCAAAGCAATAAAGAATCAGAGGGAAAGAGAAATGTAGGCCATTTAGGTTGATATATCCATGTTGACTGCAAGCTGCAACCCTTCAAAATATGTCATGAAGCACAAGGGAAGTTGTTAATGTCCTTCTTCCATGTGAAAGCAACAGAAGACCAAAAACTTGATTTCTTAAAGCATGTTTTTCAAAGAATATTTGGATCCAGACACAAAGGGCACAAAAGAGATATACATGTACAGTCTCTCAGAATATCATCAAATGTCTCCAAAATTTTTCAAAAGCCTTTTGAAGACTCCAAAATTCTTCTCTCCAAGAAGTATGCCTCTAGCTTATGACTCCTTAAAGCAATAATTGGGACAAATTCTAAAGAGTAAAACTAATGAACAATATTAATATCCTATAAATGTAAATAAAATTTATAGAGTGGTTTCTTGTACTACCTCACTCAGCATCTTATAGAAAGATGCATACTCTATAAGCAGTCCCATATATAGATGGTTATCTATGCTGTTTGCTAATATTTCTCTATACTTCATAGAATAATGTAACCAGATCTGCTGCATTGGTTGTGTATTGCACAACTCCAGCAAGCTCAGTCTACATAGACTACAGCGTGAACATACCCCCAGGAAATCCTGGAACATAATCACCTTATTTCCTATAATACACATGACATAGCAACCTAGAACCCCTTTTTCCAGTAAAATAACCTTTTTGAAATCAGTTATGTGTTTATACAAAAATTGTCATACCAGTGTATTCTCTGAAAATGGGATTTGTAAGAGTACTGTTACATGCACTTATTTAGATATTTTTTCTTTCACTGATAGGCTCACCTATACACCACTAATTTATCTTTACTTTTGACAGTCTGTAGCCATATATTTAGTAACTACTAATCCTAAGCTTGTAACTTGGAGATTGTTCTCTATGCTTTAGGAAATATTTTTGTAAGTTGCATGAATTTTAAGTTACCCTGTTCCTCTGAAAACCTGGAAAGCATTTCTGTTTTCAAATTATCCACACCTTATGTGTTATGTACATAGATATTGCTTTTCCAAATTATCAATAAACTGCTCAAGGTATTTGTGTTGTATTAGACAGTTCTTATACAATCATGCAATAGAAGAAACAACCTCAAAATCTCAGTGGCCCACGACATTTGTTTTTCCCACTCCTATGCGTGTGGTTCAGCTGGGGCAATTCTGCTTCAGTTCTGCTGTGGGTCAGAGTCAGGTCTGTCCCATATGTCTCCTCATCCTGGGACTAGCAGCTTCCCTGGGCATGACTTTTCACAGCAGATGGCAGAAAAGGGCAAACAAAGCTGAGCAAATTCATAGAAAACTTCTGATTGGACATGAATTCTTTCTAAGTCCACTGGCCAAAAATAGTTGACAACAGTGGAGTGGAGAAGAGCTACTGCCTCCAAACAGAGCTGCTGCAGCATCATAAGGTCAAGGGCAGGTGATAATTCTATTACATACAGGGAGTAAATCATTATCCAATGTGAACAGTAAGCCAATGTGAACAACAAACCCATCCAATCCACACTATGTGCAGGAATCGCAAATCTATTCTCTCTCATTTACAGGAGTTGAAATTGATTGGACTGGATATTCCACACTTTGCTGCAGATCTCCCACTGAACCGATGTAAAAACCGCTACACGAACATCCTACCATGTAAGACCATCAACTGCCAATCATAATTTTATCTTTCAAAGGTCAAAGGATTGTTACTGCAGATTAATTCATTTCACCAGTCTCCATACATACCAGTTGTGATCTGAACCTCAAGGTCATCTCTGTGATTACACTGATGTCACAATTGCTTTGATGTCATTAGATCCTATCCGTAAAGATTTCATTACTATGCTTTTAAATGAATTGTACCTGAACAGAAAAAAAAAAAAAAAAAAAAGACCATTTGGCCCTTTGGAGAGCAAGGAGACTTAGCTAAATTAGAAATCAAATAATTTGTGGTCTCATGACTTACTTTATGAGAATTCACTGATAATGGAAGAAAGCAATTGGAAAGGGAGTGCAAGGTGTTATAAAGTCTTTCTCTTCCTAACTTCTGGCAAGCTAAGTAGTTGTATAACATTTTGTAATAAAAAGCGACATTCAAATTAAAAAAAAACTAATGTCAGTACTTACAGGACAATTAAACACATTCAAATATAGATTTAACAGTCCTTTCTGCTATGCTGTAGGTGAACTGGGAAAGAATGGAAAAATGGAAAGCAGGGAGACTGAAAAAGCTATAGAAAGAAAACTCTATCCTGGATAAAACTTTATCCTTGATAAAACTAAGTAGTGTTACAGCAATAGCACCCCACATCTCTACACAGTTCAGAATTTACTTTTTCCACTTAAAACTCATCTACAAAAAAGCCCATGCACTGATAGATCACATTCACCCAAATTTACTTAAATTAGAAATCAATAATAAAAATACTTTAAAACTAATGCCACTAGACACTCCATAAACTTGCTTTTTTTAAAAAAAATCTTTTTATTGTGAAAATTTCCAAACATAAATATTATCAGCCCTACCTCTGCACCAACAAATTTTATTAGTAGTGTTCAAACATAAATGTGTATAAACACACACACACACATTTAAAATAAACTCGTGGGTTAAAGAAGAAATTGTCATGAAAATGTTTAATCACTTCAAAACGGAACCTTACTTGTTAAAACAATTGGTATGCACCAACACAGTCCTCATAGGTACATTTATCACCTTAACTCTTCATATCAGAAAACAATAAAGACTAAAAATTAATGATCAAATCATCTACTGTAAGAAGTAGAACTCAAGAAAAATAATAAAGATAATAAGCTGAAATTAATGATGTTTTTTAAAAGGCTACAATAGAAAGGATAGTCTTTGGAGAGACACAGAAAGAAAAATGTTTAGTGATTTCACTTATGTCTCGAATCTATTAAAAGAACAGAAGCAACAAATTCAAATACATAAAACAGAGATTAAAATTATTGGTAGGGGATGGCAAGATACAGCTCGAAGGGTACAAAACCGCAGTTGCATAGGATGAACAAATTTAGAAGTCTAATGTACATCTCAAGGATTATATTGTATGACACTGAAAATTTGATAAAACAGCAAGTTTAAGGTACTTTTATCTCAGACACACACAAACAAACACACACAAGGCTCTATAATTAAATATTTAGTGACAACTAAATTTGGAAATATGTGAGGTAATGGATGTCTTAATTTGTTCACTATAGCAATCTCAAACATCATGTTGTATACCTTAAATGTACACAGTAAAAAAATACATAATTAGGGCTGGGCTGGAGCTCAGTGGAGCAGTGTATACTTAGTATGTCCAAGGTCTTGACTTTGATCCCCTATACACCCCCAAAATCAATTTAACTTAAATTTAAATTTAAAATATTTTTAAAAGCCCATGGATTCTCTCTTCTCTAGATCTCCCAAAGGTATTGAGCTCTGTGGATGTCCCTGGGTGAAATGGAGATCATGTATTTAGGCTATGTACTTGGAGCTTTCCATAAAATTTCTCTCGTATTTTGTTTCCTGTAAATATTCTGCATGAGCTTCCCAAAACCTGAAGATATAATTCTTCCAAGGACAGAAGAGCTGGTGTAGAGAAAACAGCAGTTGGAAGATATTTATGTACTCATTTAAACAGGAAATTGAGATTGAAGAAGGCCTAGAATAGCAGATTACTGTGAATTACCTTGCACTCCATCACTCACTGATTTGACTTCATATAGGGTAGAGAGGGTCTATTAAAGAACAGAAGCAATAAATTCAAATAAATTTTCCTTCCACCCTGATTTTTACTGTTTCCTTTTCTCCTTCTCTGTAGATGACTTTAGCCGGGTGAGACTAGTCTCCATGAATGAAGAGGAAGGTGCAGACTACATCAATGCCAACTATATTCCTGTAAGTAGAAAAAAATCAGGCATCTAAGTGCTGGAGACTATGATCCAACCAATGGCCCAATGTAGGCTGTATGGATGCGTCACACAGTTGAAAAGAGCCATTCCCCACCCAGCAATGAATCTCTGAGAACAGTTTCCATTATTCCATCTCTGAATCAAGACTACGGGGTGGGGGGATGTTCAGATTTCTTTGTAAAAGGACGGTGAAAAGAAATGTAGATAATTGTGCTATAGGTCATCTTTCTTTTGTGTTTAAGTTTCAGCTTCAGCAACCAAACTCAAAGGGCTCCCAATCTGAGCACCTGTGCTTTAAAATACCTATAAAGATAGTGTTTGTTGTCATAAAAAGGTGTGGCTGGGATTTTACAGATTCCCACAGAACAATGCTTCAAACTACACAGACCTATGGAGTGGGTTTCTTTGATTGCCTCTTTGATGAGAAAAGGAAGAACATTGCATAGGCCTGTGATCCTTTGCCACTTTTATCATCAGTAAACTTTCCATTTTCCCCTTGGTGTGGAATGGCATCTGGCGTTGACAGTGCTGGTTGAGTGATAACTTTGTCACTTTCTTTCAGGGATACAACTCGCCCCAGGAGTATATCGCCACCCAGGGGCCGCTGCCAGAAACCAGAAATGACTTCTGGAAGATGGTCTTGCAACAAAAGTCTCAGATTATTGTCATGCTCACTCAGTGCAATGAGAAAAGGAGGGTGCGTGTCTAACCCAGCTGTTACCGCTTTGCAGAAAAACAGCCTCTGTCCTTGCTGAAGAGCTTGCTCTGTAGCAGAAACTATCATGCTTGCTTTGGTTTTCATCCTCATGATAATCTTATATGGTTCTTCAGAAACAAGTACCTCTGCTTTCCCTAAATGAGCACAGACTTAATTTCTTACCTCGCCTGTTTTCAGAAACTATGTTCTTCTCGCTCCAGGTGAAATGTGACCATTACTGGCCATTCACGGAAGATCCCATAGCTTATGGGGACATCACTGTGGAGATGATCTCAGAGGAAGAGCAGGACGACTGGGCCTGTAGACACTTCCGGATCACTTATGTAAGTCTCCAGACAGGAGTACAGGTGATATCCCCAGGTCGACCCCTCCCCTACCTCCCCCCACCATAAATGCCAAGGAGACCTACCAACCTACCTCTGTCATGTAAGAGAAAGAGCACCTCAGGCTTCACAACACTGCTTCCTTCAAAAAAAATCCACCTTTAATGTAGTTGCTTTCCACTTTACAAAGGATGGTACAGATAAAATGGAAATCAAAAGTCTTCACTGGTCCATTTCAAGGGAACCCAGGACAATAGAAGACTTAGTTAACCAAGCACCATCAAGAAGGGACATGTCCTCATTACTTAATATTAATAATGGATATAGTTACATTGAAACCAGGGTGTACTCTTTTTGGATTTTGTTCTATTTTTCCTCATTCTGTTCCCTCATTTTGCCTTTCATCATTCAGATGGCACTTCTAGACCTTATTAATCATGGTTCGTAGCTCTCTTAAGTGCTATCCATTTCTGATTGTTAGAATGTCAGAAAAGTCTATTTGCCTTGCAGGGCCAGCTTTCTCTCTGATGACAAGTCTTTCAGCACGAACTGAATATTTCTGTATCAGACCCAGGTGCTAACATCAACCCAAGTCATCCTGTTGCCTTCTACCCATAAACAGTCCTTAGAATATAGATTTTTCACTTGTATTGTTCATTTGAACATGCTGTCTGTTGATGACAGAATTTAAGAGGAAAACCCTCACCGCATGTTCTTCCCTGCATAGAAATAGCCCTTCCTCATGGTTTAGACCAGGAAATGGCAAACTGCAACCTGCAGAAAAAATTAATCCATTGCCCGTTTTGTGAAGCTTATAAGAGGAGAATGTTTTTACATTTCCAAATGGTTGGGAAACTTTTTAAAAGAATATTGCATGTGAAATATCATATATAAATGATGTGAAATTCAAATTTCAGTATCCATCGATAATGTTGTATGAGAATATTCCATATTAGTTTGTGCATTTTCTGTGACTGTTTTTGTGTATATCAAGCTTGCGTGGCAACCGAGACTGCATGACCTGAAAAATCTCAAATATTTACTATCTGACTCCAGAAAATGTTTGCTAACCCTTCATATAAATAATGGAAACAAAGATTGCTGAAGCTGAAACTTAAACACAAGAAAGATGACCTATAGCACTATTATCTACATTTCTTTTCAGGCTTTTACAAAGAAATCTGAACATCCCCCACTCCCTAATCTTGATTCAGAGATGGAATAATGGAAACTGTTCTCAGAGTTTCATCGCTGGGTGGGCATTTATTAACTATATTTTATTGGTATTTACAAGAGATGAATCACTTAACCACTGGTAGTTAACCATTACTTATACTGCAGTGAAAATGTAGGCAAAGTGGGTTTCATGCTGTTCCCTTCCTTTGAACTGCCTGTCTCTTCCTTGTTCCCCAAGCACGTCTGTATGCAAACACAGTCAGCTCAAATATCTTCCTTATCTCGCCTTCCCTAGTCAGAGACCTTCAGTTCTTTCCTCCTCTGCTATAGCATCTCACACATACTGCTCTATCGAAGCACACTGTGGTTATAATTCCCTGTCTTCACATCTCCCCTCCCCCCTGGGATGTTGAGTTTCAGAAACAAGAACTCCGTTTTTGTGTGATGAATCCGTCAGTGAATGAATTATTTCAACAATAATAAAGCACTATGTATGTCAACAGACTTTCTATCAGAAAAGCATTTCACAATCTTAATGCCATTTCAACGAAGCTTTCTTTATTGGCTATTTCAGCCAGAAATCCAGTGCAAACTGTTAGAGAATGTAGAACAGATCTTTCCTTAGGTTTGCATCTGGGAGAATAAACTGCAGAGTATAAAATGGGGTTTGTTCCCATGCCTGTTCTCTTAACAGGGAAGAGTCACATAGATCATTACATGGTCAATAATTTGCTTCTTGTCCTTGGTCTTAAATAGTGACTTATCTTTCAATGGTTACCACGTGAAAGGCTTGAACAGCAGGTATGAAGTTGAATAACAGTGTTTTCTTATAAGGCAGTTACAGTGGATGCATGCATGCATCTGGTACTACAGTGCCCCCTTTTGTCCATAAGCGTGCAGAATCTAAATTTTAAACTTCACAATGAAGGTTAAATTGACCAAAGAACATTGTACTGTGCTAATGAATGTATTTTTCTATTTGTTTCATATATTGTTTATGCTATTCTTTATATCTCCCAATATTGATATAAGTAAACTTTCTAAATACAACAAGATAAAATTACATAAATGAAGAAATCAAGATATGAGAAATTTAGGGTGGCTAAGTAAGATAATATCAGAAGGATTTTCTCATTTAACAAGAAAGTAAGAGAGCAGCCACAACACACTGCTTGTCACTTTTCAGTACCAAAATTTGGCATGAGCTAAGAGTTAGAGACTAAAGATTGGCAAACACATATTGGTGTCCAGAGTATGTGCGCTATGCAGAAGATAGAGCTACTGCCAATTCTAGAACACCTGTCCTGCTTCTATGGAGAGACTACTGACAATTTAATGGATTTCTGATTTTATATCACCTTTCACTTTTTAACTGAACACATATATACATAGAGATATATAATAGTATAAGTCATAAGCTAATTGTCATCAGTACTTGAACATGGCTAGCATTTTTGTGAATATTTCTGTGCAACCCAAGTTTTCTAGTGACTGAGTATATTTAATTCTTCATGGTGTTGAATGCTTGCTATTCTGTGTGATTCATTATGCCTGAGTTACTTTCTTTACTCTCTTAAGACAGGAGTGAGGAACAGCCAGCATCTTTATAGCCTTCATGCTGTGTGTATCTAAAACAAAGACCTTGAAAATATCTAGGGAGGCATTGCATGCTACTGTAATGTATGGCCTTAGGTACCAAGGGGACAATGTGGTTAAACTGATGACATTGTACATTTTATTTATGCATTTGCTTATACAGATGCAAATTTTGTTCTGCTCAAGACCTCTCAATTTTGCTCTTTGCAATTCATTTCTCTTTGATATACCTAAATGTAAACTTTAGCTCCCAAACCCACTTACAAGTTGAGCTGTGCCAGGTTATAATGTATTATTCCTCCCTCTTACAGCATTCCGGGCTCCTAGCAAGTTTAGGGGTAAGATATGAAACCAGATTTTCACAAAGCCTGGATTTGAAATCTTCTGATAGTTGAAAACAAGAGGAGAATAAATCATTCTTTCAAATGAGTGTGGACCAAAAAGAGTGGATCTTAAAGGACTCACATCCTAGTTAATATGTATTCAGAGGGAACAGCAAGCTATTTGATGGGCAGGTTAATATGAATAGGAGTAATAAACAAAACAGATTGACTCACTAGAGATTCCCAAAACTAACCATATGAATGATTGAGTAGGTGGTAATTATGTAGTGGTAGAAATGGTAATCACATCTAACCATCCTTCACAAACATTATCACACCATCTGTACAATGATTTGTTATTGGTATCTTAGGCCCTTTTCAGGTAAGAGAAAAACCGAATCTCAGCAACTTTGTCTGGGGTCAGGTCTCTGGTATCATAATTCAAGACAGAGATTCTCATGTAAGTGATTTTTTTGACAGCGTATTCTTGGGTAAAGCTGTCAGGGGTCCAGGAAAGCAGAATAGGACAGGGAAGAAATCACATCGTGTTGTGAGTTCACCTATAGTCTGACTCAGCCCGATTCCATTGATTGTGCTGGGACATGAATGGCACCATATTGATGTTGAATTTTTGAACACTGGCATCAGTCAGTCATTATCTATGGGCTGCTTTCAGCAGGAGAATGCAACCTCTTAGGCATTTTCCCATGAGGCAGCTCCCTGTAGTGAAGGACCACTATCAAGAGAAGGGTAGAGCTCTGCGGAAAGAAGCAACTGGAAAGAGATGCACCGGACTGGCAGAAGGATCTAAGTAGGGCACCAGCAGTACCTTCCACAGTGTTAATTCTCTGGCAAGGCTGCTGCAGCTTCTAAATGGCAGAGCCTGATCTGCTTAAGCTCTTGTCCTTAACTACACAAGCATGGATTTGCCTACCTGTCCTATTATTGAAAACTTTATACAACTAGTATATTGTTTTCAGGACTTACTTTGTGCCAGACACAGTGCTTGGAGCTGGAAAAGGAAATACACTGACCAGGAGTGGAATGTCAGTGGTTCGACCTTCTTGCGCCATGAACTCTTGATCTTCAGTGGAGGCCTGGGCCATCCTGGCAGTGGGTTGAGACATTAATGCTTGTTTTTTGGCTTTTTTCCCTAAAGGCTGATGAGATGCAGGATGTGATGCATTTTAATTACACTGCATGGCCTGATCACGGTGTGCCCACAGCAAACGCTGCGGAAAGTATCCTGCAGTTTGTACACATGGTCCGACAGCAAGCCACCAAGAGCAAAGGCCCCATGATCATTCACTGCAGGTGACCTCATCAGATGCATTTTCTGTTCAATATCAGGGGTTTTTAAATAAATGAAATAGCCCATCATTTCATAATGTGCATCAGATTTAATAATACATGAATTGTGATTTTTTAATCTTTGGTTACTTGATGTCTTACTATATATTAATTGTTTATATTGTGGGTATCTTTTTATATGTAGCCTATGATATTATTATTATTACCATTTCAGAAGAAAAACAAACTGAGGAATACAGTGGTTAAAGGATTTATACAAGTTCATTCAGCTAGAATGGGGAGGGGATTAGGATTCAAATCTAGGCGCACAGGTTTCCAAAGACCATGCCTAGATGTTATATTATTCCCAACAAGGATTCTAAGGGGTTGTAACATGGATAAATATAAGGTCAAATAATAAGTAGCTTATAGCAGTTCAAAACAATGTAAGTAGACACAAAATCAAGAAGAGGGAAAGAAAAGATTAAACTATTTGGCATATTAAGATAAATATATTTGCTATGCTTGCTCTTCAATTTTGTTTCTAAATTTCCAAACAGCTAGCATGAAAGGGGTCAAATGATTCATTATGTTGTCAAAAATCAAGGTTCACATTAATTCAGTTACCTTTGAATTTAATCTTCCCTTCCCACCAGGTGAACTAAGTTCCATCAAAAACCATCTCTGTGACACAGAATTGGTGTCAAATTTTTATGCAACCTCAAAAGATTCTACCTCTGACTGCATATCAGAGGTAAAAGAGGGATAAAGGTGTTAAAGGAAACATTGGCAGCTGGACCCATGAGAGCAGTTAAATCTATAATCCCAGATCCAGCATGTTGGTCTTTGTGAATTATTAGAATGGATAGGCTGCGAGAGAGAGAGAGAGAGAGTGTGTGTGTGTGTGTGTGTGTGTGTGTGTGTGTGTGTGTCCTTGGTGGGGAAATGCTTCATAAGCTACTAAGTTTCTCTTTAGGGAGGATATCATTGCTGTCAATCCACCTCTGGCTTTCACAGTTTAAAAGCTGTGTGTTAGCAGATGAGATCATCTCTTCTCAAAATGGTACTTTGCAAGAGCAGAAAATAAAGCTGCATGACCATGGGGTCAAACTCAAATAATTCGTTTCACAGCAGCTAGCAGATTCGGTGCTGGATGTGACTTTACAGGTGTCCATTCGGTGTCGGATTATTTTATCTGAGAAGTCCCAGGAGGGAAGAGTTGTTGTCTAGTAGAGAAAGCAAATTGGGCTCTGAACTCAAGGCTTTTAGTGTTGGATTTTTCTCCTAGCAAATTCCACATACATAAAGTTAGATACTTGGGCCAATTGTGGTTTCAACTTTCTGTTTTACCAAAATTTCGTCATAATTCAGAATGTAGAACCTTTTTGCACTTTAGTCTATGAATGATCAGAAGAAAAAAAAAACTGACTTTAATCTATAGAATTAGGCACTGTTGTGGGCAGTGAGTTGACTGGCACATATCAGTTTAGTTCTATCCATACTCTGAGCCCTGGGATCTGAGGACCAGATAAGACTGGGCCCAAGTATTTAACTTTATGTATTTATTTTAAGGCAGTTAGCTAAACGATCCCTGGGAGAGGGAGATTGAAGCAGGCTTAGGACCCACTAGAAGAGCATGTGTGCTGCGAGGAAGGAGTGAGATAGTGAATTGAATTCAGTGTTGAAAGTGCACAAATCGCCATGACCCCAGACCTACAGCCAGGGCGTTGACATCTCAACTGGACTTTTGAGATAGGCATGAGGAATACAACCCAGAGGCTATTCATGAGATAGAACATCGTTAATGTGTTCCATTCTTGAGGGCAGGGACCAGTCAAGGTGGAATCATTACTTTTCTCCTGAAACAGCCCAGGGGAGGGATAGCCAAGGCTGTGCAAACCCATATCTTCTTAAAGCGGGGAACAATAATAGTCATAAATATGACATTACCAGGAAAAGCGGCCACAGTTGCAGTCTCAAAAGTCAGTTAACTGGAAAAATTTAGTCTGCTTTTTTCACAGTGATGTAAACATTTTTTTTTCTTTTTAGAAATATCTAATTTATTTTCAACAGTGAGGAGTCACTGTGTGAGTTACTTATGGTGTGAACCTTCTTTTGCAGTGCCGGCGTGGGGCGGACAGGGACGTTCATTGCCCTGGACAGGCTCTTACAGCACATTCGGGATCACGAATTTGTGGACATCTTAGGGTTGGTGTCAGAAATGAGATCATACAGGATGTCTATGGTACAAACAGAGGTAGGAACACAATCAATATATACTTTTTCATGTTCCCTTGTCTGAAAACTTAACTATTTTCACCCACATATTTCAAAACAATTGTCTGGATTTTCTTTGCATCTGCCTTTCTCATTTTCTTATTGTATATGTTTCAAACTTCTTCAAGATAGGAAAGAAATAGATATCAGCCCTAGGAAAGTGTATGGGGTTCCACTTTTGCTGGCGTCATATGCCCTTTATGTGGATGTGTTTGCAACAGAGTAAAACCTCTTCCAACAGAATGCAAGTTCGTGAGAGGCAATCTGGGGAAAGCTGTCTGATGGAGACCACAGAACTGTTGTGATTTAATTCACATTTGAAATGCTAGAGTGGTTCAATAAGCACCCGTGGGTGCAGAAACCCAAGTGTAATTGTTTGTTCATAAGCCTAGTCTCCCAGCTGCACAAGCAAGCGACTCCTTAGCTTCAGGCAGACAATGGCTCCTCTCCTGGAGGAGTGGGTGGGGGAGGAGGACTTGCAGAAAGGAAGGCAGCCTGGCCTGACCTCTTACAAAGGGACTAAACCCTGCTTAGGACTTCCTCATGCTTTTCTCACCCAACACCACTAGGTGTCAGAATGATTCAAAAAGCCCCAAGTAATGGCTGTCTCTCTAGCTCTGTGTGTTTCTCCTTTTCAACACTGTGCACTTTTCTTTCCTCCTACCCTCCCAAGTTCATCTGAGCAAAGCTTGGCATACATATTTCAATGTGTTTATTTCCCAGTTGCACCAGGATTGCACCACATTCAGAAGTTTCATTGTGAGCCCAGTCAGTCTCAGGCCTGCTGTCTTCTAATTTGTTGTGGGGACATACACATCACCTTGTTATCACAGGTTTTAAATGTCTGGTTTCCAAGAGAAGCCCCTTACCTAGCGATTAAATAGTACTTTATTAATCAATCCATACTTTGAGCTTTCACACCCATAAATTTACATCCTAATATGTGATTAAAAATTTCCATTATATACATATATAGAATATTATACATTAATATATATTAATCCCCAAGCTTCAAAGGGCTACTTCTTATTTTAAGTATCTTGGATTTGATGGATTGTCTGCCCCAATTTGCTTAATTTATACCTCTTAGGACTTTATAGACTTTGATGATAGCCTGTTTGCTTTTGATTTTTTCCTAACTACAGAATCTTAATCTCTTTTTAAAAACTACCTTCACAGACCAGACTCTTCTTCCCAGTCTCAGCTCCATTATTCTTCTTCGGTGTGATAATCACACAACACTAGAGCAGCCACATGGGGCTTTCTGCAAAGGCAAGAGAATATTTTGTTTTCTCCCATTCTTGCCCCAAATTTTAGACGTCTGGTTTCTTTGTCTATGGCAGCATTTCAGGTTGACATCTCCACAGAAGCAGTTTTTTTAAAGCATGATATACCTTCCCTGAACTTTCCTTGGGAAATTTAAAGTCAGCCAAGAGGGCAGAGGTTCTCCAAGTTACTCATTTTCCCAGCTGTTCTAACTGTACCCTTGGGTCCCTTGGGATTTTGCAATGGATGCTTTCCAGTTCCTGTTATTTATTTGTGTCTGCTTTGCTAGCTATATCTAGAACATCTTGTTCACATACCTTTTATTTTTCCTCATTCCTCTGCTCTTCAGGGTTCAAACCATATTTTTGAATATAAGTTGATTTATCCAACATTGTTCTTTAGCATATTCACATTCAAATCCTGCTGCCTTTAATTTACTAACAAGAACAAAAAAATGATTCTTTTCCCTTCAGTCACTAATGATTTGCAAGAGGACAGAATCACCCTCCAGTCATGACCTGTCTTTATGTGCACAATCAACCAGGAATCAAATACCATGTTTCCTCCCATTGATGGTTTCCAATTTTCCAACCTTTTCTTCATCCATCACCTTGACTCTGCCACTCCAACCCACCCTAAAATGGTAGAAACCACTAATTAAATCAGCCACATCCACGGGCACCTATTTACATGCTGTTTTTGTTGAATTTTGACCTGCCTTCTTTCTCACCTCACGAGATACACCTCTGGGGCTTCTCCACACAGATAGGAGGACAGTCTAAAAGACCTCAGCTGTACCACTGCACAAGTCGCACCACTCTCAAAGTTCCATTTCTCAGCTCTAAAATGTGAATGACAGTTTTCATGAATTGCTATAAAATACACGTTAGGTAAAATGACGGAATCTAGATGAGTGCCTGAAACTGAATAGTGGAGGGGCATTTCCTGTCTTGGGCTCTCTTCTACTTTTATCAAACATTGTGTTGATTTTGTTTCCTTTACCTCTAATAGCCTCTCCCTGGAGGTCAGTGAGAGTGTTGCTTTGAGCAGACTGTTCTCCCTATGGGCAGCTTGAATTTCCCAGAGACTGGAAGGATGTGTCTGAAAATAAATAGGTTTTTATTTGCTTTTCCTGTCGTGTTTTTTTCTTTTCTTTTTTCTTTTCTTTTTTTTTTTTTTTAACACAAAGTTTGGCCCCTGGGTAGTTACAGAGTGAGAGTCCAGGAAGTCTCTGGCCTTCTGTCTTCCCATGTTGACTTAACACCAGAAACAGTTGGAGTGATGTGCGAGATCCTCCGAGGGGGAGCTCAGTTACTGCTGTGATGCTTTCCAGACCTGAGGTAAAATGTGTCCCGGAAGCTTGCTGAGAAAGACAGAGCAGGCAAGGTTCCAAACCAGTGAGGTCTGAGGTGTTGCTTTTATCCTTTGTCGGAAGCTATTTACACAGAGGCTTCTTCAGCCCCTGCGAACCTCTTGACTGGATCTTATGTAGAGGGTAAGATATCTAATGAGACTACTTAGAAACTCCAGGAAATAAAGAAAAACAAAACTAAGAAGTTACCCTTATTTCAAGGCACAAAGACAACTAACCTTATATTTTGGTGATTTCATCTCAGCTTTCATTCAAGTGTAACTTTTTGCCATATACATACATATGTTTTTTTATATATCTATATATATAGATGTATACACATATGAGTGTGTGTGTATGTATATGTATACTTGGTACTGGGGATTAAACCTAGGTGTGCTTAACTACTGAGCCATATCTCCAACCCTTTTTATTTACTATTGTGGATACAAAGTCTCACTAAGTTGCTTAGGTCCTTGTTAAGTTGCTGAGGGCCTTGCTAGGTTGCTGAGGCTGACCTTGAATTTGCAATCTTCCTGTCTCAGCCTCCTAAATTGCTGGGATTACAAGTGTTTGCCACTTCACGCAGCCATATATATATATATATATATATATATATATATATATATATA